TTTACACACACACAGACACACTGTATTGGAACCTAGCTGTAAGCCATCCAGAGTTGTACGGGAGATTGGGGGCAAAATACAGATCCTGAGCAAGTGCACACCACAGCCTAAGAGCAAGACAGGAGAAGACCCTTTTCCAAGTGTCAAAAATGGACACTTCGCCATCCTACAGATATTAAGGCCCACACGGGTTCACAATCACAAGGAGCAGCACTGGTACCCTCTGTCTCTTTATGTCTATCTAACTCAGTGTGTCTCAATCTTGGCAACTTTCAGAGGTGTGGACTTCAACTCCCAGAATTCCCCAGCCAGCAAGGCTGGCTGGGGAATTTTGGGAGCTGAAATCCACACCTCTGAAAGTTGCCAAGATTGAGACACACTGAGTTAGATAGACATAAAGAGACAGAGGGTACCAGTGCTGCTCCTTGTGATTGTGAACCCGTGTGGGCCTTAATATCTGTAGGATGGCGAAGTGTCCATTTTTGACACTTGGAAAAGGGTCTTCTCCTGTCTTGCTCTTAGGCTGTGGTGTGCACTTGCTCAGGATCTGTATTTTGCCCCCAATCTCCCGTACAACTCTGGATGGCTTACAGCTAGGTTCCAATACAGTGTGTCTGTGTGTGTGTAAAAATGTAAAAAAGATATATAAATATAAAAGTCCAGAAGAGCAAAGTAAAATCCGATTACAGTTTTGGGGAAAAGGTGGTAGCAAAGCTGAGAGATGCAACCATTGAAGAGCATCTCTTTTTTAAAAAGCTCTTTTGAAAAGTGAAAGCAAAAGGCTTTTTAAAAGGTTGTAGCCTAACCTTCCTGGTTAGGGAGTTCAACATGTAGCTGTGAGCATGTACTTTTTCTGTAATTAGAGTTCCTGCCCCTCTAGTTTTGGATCTTAGAGCTTCTATGCCATCCTTATCTTTATGTATTTTGCTGGTTGGCTGAGTTTCTGAAAGTCAAATGGGCCCTTTTTTAAAAATATTCACAATTATATCTTAACATTCCTGGGGAAAAAAGTCTGTTTTAATTTTTTTTTTCTGAATTTTCTCCCCCTTCCCCCTAGGTTTATTCTTTACTGGCTTTATCTTCACGGCTTTCTTTTTCTTCATAGTCATTACTAAAACATCTGCTCTCAGTTATGATGGTGAGTTGAAATTTTTTATGGACATATTTGAGCCCTGCAAAAGCTATTGGAAGTTCATTGTTGGAACAGAGATACCCTGGACAGTAAGAGGTGGCCAGCTTAAGGATGTAGATAGATCTGATGTAAGTCACATATTCTCAAACCCTGGATCAGTTCCTTACATGAACTGTGTGCAAATAATACTTGATCATTATCTCCTATCTAAAGCTAAAAAAAGAGGACAGGAATCTATATTGTCTGCACTGAATGTCAGAGATGTCATCACCCCGCTGCATGGAAATTTTCTGTCCATTCTCTAATTTGGCTTATTTGTTAGATTTATATTTCCCCTTGCCTCCAGAAGCTTCAAGGTGCTTTCATGGGGAACTTCCTTTATTTTATCCCCACAACAAAATCTCTGTGAGATACGTGGGGTTGAGACAGTCAATAGCCCCAACTCGCCCATTGACCTTCCATGAATGAGGGTGGACTTGAACCAGATTCAGCCCGATTCTGGTGTGACATTTCTCATTCCATTCCTCAAGCAAAGTGCTCCCTACTGATGTGAGAGAACATGGAGAGGCTGCGAAACACACAGAAGGAAGAGTAGATATAAATAATGAAGAGGTAGTATGTTGGTAGTTTAGCTTATAAGCAGCAGCTCAGCCTGGGTGTCAAGAAAGCTGGGAAGAAACATTCCAGATTGTTCAAAGAGACTCTGCCTTAGTGAACTTGCTTGTAGATGAGAGTGGGAAATTCCATTCTCAGTTTCCAAGATGCTGTATTTACTCAAAGACTAGCCCTTAAGATACCTTATGAAGTCCCAGCTTCCCTGCAGTTCTTCACAGATAGTGTCAAATTTGGGGCTCAATTTGCTATCCTCATCAATGGATAATACACTTGCTATGATGAATGGAAAAATGGTGGATGGATGTATAAATGTATACGCTCTTCTTTTCAACATTTAAAGTACGTCTCAGTTCCATTGTTGTTTGGGAAAGGGAGCATCTTTTTCTGTATTAATGAAAAAATTACACATAGCTTTGGAATGGATAACTTCAGCAAAGTGTTGCATCCATGAGGACCGCAGTGTGGTTTCTCATTGTGGTTCTGGTTGTTCAAAGTTACCTAAGTAACTTGGGCCCAGTAAAGCTTTAGGAAGCAGTTCAGTTTTGAAAGGACCAGGATATGTCTGCTTGTATTCACTGCCTTGTAGTGAAATGAGCAAATATTTTAAGGTAAATAGTGAGTAATCTTGCAAAGATGAGGTGTAGTGGAACACTAATTGTTACTGCTCTAATCTTTATATTTCCTCTTGTTCTCCTCCTTCCTCTACCACCTGCTTTTTTCAGTCAGTCTTGGCCTTACAGCAACAGCTGGCATTATTGGAGGTCTCCTCTTGGTAGGATGTTGGTGGCGATTTGGTTTTGTCATCCCATGTATGTTAATTGTAGGACTAGTGCTGGGGTGTTTTGTAGCATCTGCAGTTTTCTTCACTCCATTAGGTAAGTGACAGCAACGCTTCTTGGTCCCTACCGAAATTTGAATATCTAATAAGGACACTGATGAGAAGCAAGTTGCTGAAGCATCCATACAAAGATAATGGCCCATAAATGGAACTGCTACTTTAAAAGAACTTGCAATTAAAAAGTTATATTTATCATTGTAGTAATTATACAATTCTATACAATGTATACAATTATAGAAATGTGTGTGTGTGTTTTTTTAAACAAACTAGTTATAACCTAGAAAAAAATCACACTGGTCTGATGTCTTTTCCATTGGATTTGATGTTTGTACACATATGGTACATTCAAAATAAGATGAAATAACTTATCCTTTCTCATATGATATTATACATAATTTTGTAAACTTGCAAATTTGGTATATTTTATATATCATGTTGAATTCAGATGCTCTTCAGCAAAAGTACCATCAGATTTTCACTTGATGGGGAAAGTATAGCCAGGTCTCCACAGCTGAGTCACTTTTTAAATGCAGGTCAACTGTCCTTGAAGCTAAATTATGAAGTTTGTCACAAGAAAGGGCTCCTTTCTTTAGGGAGGAAACTTCCTAGGTTGGTCTTGATTTCAGAATTTGATAAAGTAGCAGTTTTGAACAGACACTAGAAGCTGTGTTACAAATCTGTGTTTATCGTTCCAGGAGACTACAAGGTTTTTCAAGATGATGCTGTTTTCTGGGTCACCTTCTCTTGTGTTACCTTGATGGTTCCAGTCATTTTTGTTTGGTGCCCCAGAGTTGTAAGTACTTCTTGCAGTTGAACAATTTCAATTTTCCTGGGCTTGGAGATGAATGAGATGCTACAACTGAATTATCTTTAGCAAAATTTGGCCTTGTCTTTTATAGCCTTGCCCATTAACTGCTCATAAAAAGGCCATCATCAAGGAGGGCTTTAGTCAAGAAGTGAGAATGGCTGAGGTTGGGCTATAATTATGTCACCAGTGAAAACAAGACAGATTATCTGAGTAAATCCTGAGAGACCCACCAAATTATCTCCTTTTTCTGGTTGTACAGGCAAACAAATGTGTTTTGCTGAAATAAACCTCCAGTGTGCAAAATTCAGTTTGACTATATTTCATTTCCCTCTAAGCACTTTCTAACCCTTCAGCTGTTTGGTGTTCACCTGAGTACCTAAGTTGAAGGGCCATTGAAAAATACTTTGGAAACCAGAGTAGTTGAAAAGTTGGTTTTTTCCAACTTTGAAGTAGGGCCTTCACACTTGCTGCCCTCCGTTTCTGAACTCCAGAGATTAGATCTGGCCTGGCCCTCCTTAGTTTTCAAAAAGCCACCAAAAAGTGGCCTTTTCAGCATGCCTTTAGGATTTGCTGTATTATCTTGTTCTTCCTTACTTGGAAATGCCTAGGTATGAGTTGTGCTATTATTGTCTAGGTATATGGGATGATATTTTTTATGCATTTGTTTTTATCCAATTGCATTGGGTATGTATGTTACTCAGGGCCTATTATGATTGGATAAACCTAAAAACCCAGTCAGGAAATAAATAAGCTATTGTCATTTGTTTGTTTATTTATTACCTTACAATAAAACAATCCAAATAGATCAAAACCAATTAAAAATACAACCAAAATAAATGCAAAAGATTTTTTAGAAAAGGCGAGAAAAAAAACACACAGAGAGTGCGTTCCAGTCAACCATCATGCACGCTCCACTGTGTCATGGAATCCCCAGGTCAGCTGACAAAACCATGTTTTGAGGGCCTTCTAGAAGGCCAACAGGGTTGGAGCCAGCCTCACCTCAGGGGGAAGGATGTTCCATGGGGGGCAGGGGGGCATGGCAGAAAAGGCTTTCCTCCTAGGTCCTGCCTGATGAAATTCCCTAGCTCAGTGTTGTCCAAACATGGCCTCTTTAAGATGAGTGGACTTCAACTCCCAGAATTCCCCAGCCTGGCT